GGCTTCGTTTTCACGACAAATAATCTCATTTTGAATAGTGCTATATTTTCTGTACTGGTTTCAGATACATAACGCAGGAAAGTTTTATCGAAGACTTAGAACAGATTTTCGAAAATTGTCGAACTTTTAACGAGGATGAGTCACCGATTGGTCAGTCTGGAGTGACACTACATAAATTCTACTTGAAAAGATGGAAACAGTTGCGATATAATTACTCGAAACGTTTGAAGCGTTTGAAAAATCCGCGTCTTGTGCACTCGGTAACACTGTTATCGTCGTCATCATAGGAACAAATCAATAAGAGCAGCGAACAACCAGTATGAATGATCTAGGTTCTTTGACTCGGGCAAGTGTGGATGGCGTCAGGGACATCAGAAGTGACAGATCGAAAATGAACAGATCTCTTATGTTGAATAGTTATTATATTTTCTTCTCGACACAGCATACCGATTATGCTTCCTGCATGATGTCCATTCAGTTTCGCCAGCAATATGGTCGGAGGTGAAACGATTGGCATCGTGGTCTTCCTTTGCAGCCAAATATTAGAGCTATTTTAGTTTGTCAAATTTCTTCCTGAATATTGAAGTAATTGTAACGTATACTCTGTCTAATACATGTTTCAGTATTTGGATTTGAAACAACGGAAATATCGCTTTCAAATCCACCTCTTATTGTTTAGTTCTGTCTTGCTATCCTCTGTTTTAATAAGTTGGATATATTTAGATTCCAGAAACTGCTTCATATATCCATGAAGTCAAAGATCACTAGTGTCTTGTTTTTCCTTCATGAAAGAATATATCTGATAAGGGACTTCTCTTGCAAGATTTTCTGGCAGAATTTATGTGAGCTAACATAGAAATATGAATCTGTTTTTAGCTTTATGTTGTAAATAACTCTGCATATGATAGAAAATCATGTCTTGCCAGTAATGCTTATCAGAAATCAATGCTTATCAGAAATTTTATCAGAAATCATAGTGATAGGGAAGTATTTGGAGAGTTCTCGCACTTATGATAAAGTTTGTATTGTTCATTATTACCAGTTATTGATTGTCGTTGCTGATTATTTATTACCACCGTATTGCTATAACCAGCACATCTGATCTCAGTCATGGAGAACATCAGCGCTTGTATTATCAGCACTATCAGCTCTTGTAAATAATATTTCTTTTTCCATTCGGTTTTGATCCTGTGCAGTTATGCTTTAATGTTGTTGAAACTTCTTTTTTCGCTTTTTTTTCGACTTCAAAGGGGGAGTTTACATGGGAAGATTAATTTGATTCTTATAGGATTTCATTTTCAAAATTCTAGAAATCTTTGAAAATTTTAAATGAGTCTGATCTAAATTTCTGCTCAAAAATTAGTCCCAAATTGAGAGAGATAAAACCCTGCTACGTTATTTACCTTCGTACATCAGACTTGAATTTTCAGACTTACTGCTGTTATGCAATTATTGGTCCTCCAATTTCTATCATTCCAGGACTTCCAGATTCCCCGCTCACTGTTCAGGCATTTCCTGAAAGAAGATATTCAGAAAGCTTCATCCCTCATTCTTGGAGCAGTCTGATGTTAATTATTATTGTGGCTTAAATTTTTAATTCCATGAAATAATGACAGTTCAAGAAGTTTGGGACAGTTATTTGTGCTACTTATTGTTTGTTATCATCATGTTAATGCCAATGAATTGATGCGCTTTGATTTATCACTTGCTTACGTAGATTCAGTAATGCTTCGTTTTTCATTGCAGTTTTCTAATCACTATTTGCTTTCTATGAAATACGTTCTCCAGTCCTTATTGACTTGTCATTTATCAACTTTTGTTGGCTTATTAATCAGATTTTCACTAATTTTTGTTCATCTAATACCGAAATTCTTATTTGCATAGGCAATTTTCTTGTTGTTGTTAGCGGAATAACAATATGTATTCCTGATTGTTGATTTTTAACTCCTCGATGCTTACTTTTTACTGTTATGAACGTTCCAAAAATGCCTTCCCTGCATGAATGAATTTCGTTTTAAATTAATATATTTGTTGATTCTGAAGATGTTTTGTTAATTTCATCCGTTTACATGCCTCTATCCTGTCCCACTTTTTCACTCTACATTTTAGTCCTCTGCACAGTCACGTGTCTTGTTGTGCTGGATGCTAAATTTTGAAAAAGGTATGAAGTGTATGTTTTCTTGCTTTTATATTGTTATTCATTTCTTCATGCCACTTCTTTGTCCACTAGAGTTAATAGAAGTTTTTAGCACTCGAACTCCGTTGCCTCTTGCAAGTGATTCCAAAATTTATTTCATACTTTAACTGCATAAAGTTACCAGTTTTATACTAATATCTGGTCGCTGTACTTTCAGCTAATTCTCAAGCACTTTTCCTTCTAATTGCCGTAAAAATTTGTACTTCGTTGAGAACGAAATTCACATGCTTTGTATTGTTTTGTACAGGTTCCCTTATATCCTAAATAATTCATGAAGAATATATCGATATGAAATACCGGCTCTGAGCACCAAACACTCGAAACGCCTGTTTGTGCTCGAATTCACCGTTCAACCAATTTTTTTCGAAGTTTTCGGAACTGATTGTTTGACAAGGGAGATACGTCTGTATCGGGCAAAACATTCTGTTGAACGCATCTCATTCTCAGTCCTCCCAGTATTCGTATGTATCATTTTACTGTAATCCTTGTTGATCTTCACACTGGTTTATAAATTCAAATCCCTGAATAAACTAGTAAACTCTACCAACATTTGGTCGTTATTAGTAGTTCACTGCAAATGAATTGAATTGATATTTGCATTATTGATACACCTTCTAGACCTTTATTCATTTTTGTCGGGAAAGATCCAGGAATAATGCGAGATAAACAGAGGCGGATATAGTGCTTTGTAGTAAAGTCTCGCCTAGCGCCGTAATGCTCGATGAGTTTGTGAACCGCTCCAAGACCCCACAAGTACCGTACGAGTTACCTACACAAAGTATCACGGTTATCAAACCGGAAACTGGAGATTTCAAACAAAAATTTGTGAAGCGAAATCCGTCACTTGGAAGGCGAGAGCGGAACACGGGCCTGTGTTATAGTAAGTAGAAATATGTGGACCTCTGGTAGCGAAATTGTATCTACAAAGTTGCTAGTACTGTCCAATAGTTACTATACTAGCAACATTCGTCAGCCACCTTAAGCATTACTTCAAAATGTAGCATACAATTCAAGGTTCAGTATATGAGAAACACCGTTACTGTGAAATTAAAGGCGTTTACCAAAGCAGTCACTCGCAGTGACCTTACAAATTCAGCAACTAATTAACGCCTATTAATAAAGATGAATAGGTCATTTCATTAATAAGCGTTAATTTAGAAATCAAGTATTCTAACTATTCTGAAGAGGAAAATAATTTTGCAAAATAATGACAAGCCAAAAAATGTTATGAGAATTTAAGGTCAAGAAGGCATAATCATTTGTACGTGTACGTATTTAAAGAGTGGTTCGACTGAAAATAAACAGAGTCTCTTAAGAAGAAAATGAAAGATAACAACAAGAAGCACCTTAGCAATGGGTAAAATTCAAAAGAGGAGGAAAGAGATGTAATAAAAAATGATGAATGAAGAAAAATGAGATGTAAAAATTCGGAAATAGGATTTCGCTGATTGGGAAACGTTAAGTAAATCACAGTTGTGTGAGAGATAAATATATCATTAAATTTCGCTTGGAGTAAAGTAATGATAATATTTAATAAACAAATTGGAAAAAAAACTCCAGTTTTTTGAGGCTAGATGGAAAACAGAAACGCAAGAGAACTTCATTAAATTTAATAAAAACATTTGCTTCAAAATACACCATAGTTTTCCATTGAAAATTTGCAAAACTCTAATCAAATTCTTACTTAATTTTACGAAGAACAAAAACAAGATAACATTCAAAAATGCTAGAATCTTAAAGAAATTCCCGAACGCATTGGCAAATAACCCGTTTAAAAATAACCAATACTATCAGATGTTCGAAGAGGAAGCATATAATCAGGGAAGTGATGGCAATGAAAGCGGTTCCGGTGTCAATCGTTTCCGAAGTCTTTTATTTGGCACAACGATTTCTTTTACAAACGAACCGCACAATGCGTCAACCTCATCATAGAAACCAGGCATACTGATACGTGTCTGATGCTCTTTGCACAAGAAATGCTGAAATTAAAATATCTGACAACTGATGCTCCCACATCCTAGCAATTGTTTTTGAATCACCAAATACGGAATTTCAACCGTCATATCTAATATTCTCATTTTTCGAACTAGTCATGACAACACTTGGCTGATCTAGAAAATATTATTTCAATAACTAAGAAGTGATGCACCAAATATTTAAGCTTCATTCCTTTACGTGAACCTTATAAATGAGGAAGGAAACGATGGAAGTACATTGACTGCTTCAAGGTTATGAAAGAGTTAGGACAAAAAAAAAAAAAAAAAAACAAATAAAACAAAATAAACGAACCAGTTGCAAATCTTGGCAGTCACGTGTGCAAATATCACAAAATCCAGGTCCAACTCGACTTTTTGCTCGAGGCTTCGAAATTTTCGTCTCCTTCCTGGAAAGATCAGCTCATAGTATATAACATGTAATTTCTCAAGACAGAACAATAAAGAGACGTAAAATTAGCCGAAGTATTAAAAAATAAAATCAAAAATCATGTTTAGTTTATATCGCCGTTCCATTACCCACCTATCGAATTGAATAGCTTCTTAAAGAAAATAATTTGTGGAAAAGAAGAAAGAGAAGAAAAAATAAAGAATTAGAATCTATAATATACACAAAAACAGTACTTTCGCTTTAGGTATTCTGGAGAAGCTTTGTGAAATATCGACCTTCCAGCTGCTTCACCAACGTAAATCGGCCGAAAATTAGAAGGTATTCCATACTCTTTCCAGGAAGGCGCATACTGTAGGCTATTATCTTCAAATTTGATGAATGGCGGTGTTAATTTGCGTATGCTTTTCTGTAAAATGAGAGATTAGAACGAACAAGGCACCAAACTATCCTATAATTTGAACAAAATAATGGGATTTGATGATGTTATGACTTCACACAGTCTCTTACTATAAAAACGAAGCAACTGAAACTTTATATTTCTTTTGCCTTTCCCATCTTATTATTAAGACCACGTGTTCCATCATGGAATAAAAAAGACAACGATTTGTTAGTATCGAATGATAAGGAAACACCAAATAATGATTGCCAAAGAGTTTTAAAAAGGTTTTAAAAACCTTCATCTTAACATGCAGATGGATTAAACGAAAAATAAATAATTTAACATAATTTTTGTCCTATGATTCATCCGCATCTAAAGAGCTTGCAGAAAATTCAAAATATGACATGCAGCGAATATTCACTACTGCTCAGTCGTTCTGCTTCTTTACATCAAAGCAAACAATTAAGAAATATGTGCTGCTTCCAATTCTTAATAGAATACGCAAATATCTTCCAAAACATCTCTGAAACGTTCTGAAACAACATACCTGTTTTTCCAATTTCGATTTTACAGGCGCCAATTTCGCCTTCTGATTTAATTTAACGCGATTTTTCACATTCGATAAGATTTGAAGAAAAGAAGTATATGTTCGAACACGGACACCATTTTGCAAAGCAACTCGGAGTAATACTGGCAAAGCACTGCAGTACTAAAAGGCACAGGTACAAGCATAAAGGTTAACAGTGTTTCCATGAAATCAGTATTACACATGCTTTATTGTCATGAAGTTTTTGACAACCGAAAAAAAAATGCAATTTATCAGTGATGCAGCGAAGGTACTGCACGATCGGTGAGAGTTTATAGCTTTGACAAGAAGCAATAATGTTTTCAGTACCTACAGAGCAAGTAATTTCTTCAAAAATAACAGAAACTGAAGCATCCCGAAGAATCGATTACAGAATATAGCTCACTTCGGATGTAATTCTTTTCGATTTTGTTACTCTTTCCAAATACCGTGCATGTGGATGATCAGTAACGATACAAAAAGGCTTTTCATCATCACCGTTAAGCGATTCCAAAACTTTACCACCAAGAAGTTTGATGTCTTTCTGTAACTAACTCTTGCTATATCCCGGTAGGAAAAATTTGAAACTTAAGCAAAACCTTTAGTACTGATGCCAGTACAGAAAGCCCTAAAAATACAACTTGGTCGCGTATAAGCTTTATAAACTACAATCATGTCACTCCCCTTTACTGTATTACTAATAAAATAACGAAAAGGACCTCAAGTTGCAAACGACTGTTTTCATCTTCTAAATCCAAAATGAATTCCATAGAACGAAGTGGTTTTTTGCCCCTTTTTATGATGAAGCTATCACTAAAGAAGGAAAGTGACGTCGACGCTTGAGCGGTGGTATTGTCCGCCATTTCAGTTCTCGATTTGCTGTTTTTTTTCTATCGATAACGCATCACCAAAGTTGACCTAATTCTGGAAAGAAAACTCAAAATTATTCCTATTCAGGCCGAAGATATGGATCACTTGAATGCGTGCCACTAACTACTACCTAGCAGAATGACGAAATAAAATGGAATAAATTAGACTAATTAAATTAAGATGGGCTGAAATAAACCGAACGGAAATGTGTGAAAGCCAAAGTTACCAAAGCAACAACGAGACAGTACAATCAAGACATTATCACTATTCGTCATGTCGTTCTAAGAATTATTTGATGTTCCTAATATTACTAGTAGAAACGGACTTTCAACCAAATACCTCAGTACAATCTAGTACTCAAAACTCTTGCCCCCAGTCGTCTCTGCCCCAAACATAACTTCAGCAATTAAAACTGCCGCGTATTCCTAATGTGTCTTTGAGCAACTCTGATCGTCACTATGAAATTATCGTTCCACCAAGTTCGAGTGACATTTCCATTTCCTAGCACTTACCCCTAATATCTGATGTGTTACATATCGGTCGAATGTTCTGTTGTCTTCTATCTATTTTACCTTTTGAAACAAATTCCCTCAGATTTTTACTGCATTCTCTTTTTTTCCTTTCGCTCATTACCGTAGTCACTGCAATGTCACCAAAGAAGGTCAACATTAGCAGCAAAAGTAAGTGATTTATCCAGTCTGATCATTTTATTGGCCTAAATAAACGAGAGGAACAGCATTATTAGGAGAAATATGAAAATATTAATATAACAAGGAGTGGATCATGGAGATAGCTACTGATTCAGGTGATAGTTACAAGGACCTTTCTCCACAAAGTTTCTTCCTGAAATCAAATGACAGTTAAGCCAAAGATAAAAAAACAATGACTAATTATGTGATGAAGAGGAAAATGCTGCACCGATTAACTGCTAATGTCTCAGTTACTCATTTAAATGTTATTGGTGAATGAATTACCTTTTCAAATTTTGCTCTCGGCGTTATTCTGTGGGCAGTGCTCGAATATATTCTTTTCCAGTGAAGAAAATTTTGGGATAATTTTGCGCATTTTTTTCCTAAAATATTGAACTGTTTGACAAACAGTTTCAAGATTTGAAGAAAATTTGAAGATTTTCATGCTTGTCCAGGTTCGCCTGAGCTTATTTTATTAGAAATCAGGAAAGGCCTACTTGTTGCGACACTTCTTGATGAATAGTCTGTTGCGTAAGCGAACACGGCCAGTTCGACCAGCGTTCAAAACTGGTACGGGACCAAATTCACGCCAATTACTACCAATCATGAGGCAGTGTCCCTGGAAGAATGTTTTAGGCTAGATTTGCGACGATCAATGTGTCAGAGGAACTGAAGATACCTCTGATGGATGCCTCATGTATGACAGTATCCCACTATTTTTTGTTTCATTACTTGTTTCTTCCAGTCGAACAACTTCCATTGTGTTTTCTTCCACTGAAAAGATCTTAATCCACAAATATTGATTCAACCACTCCATTATCAATTTAATCATAAGAACGACAATTTTAATAATTTCATCTTTTCTAGAAAATTCATTCATTATTTGCCGTGTATTTAATCCAAATTCAAAATAGCGAAGGTTTCTTTGTTGAAGTTCAGGTGAACTCCCACCAACATCTCCTTCCGCACCGGCTGCTGTCCTTGACTCTTTGGGACATTCTTCATTTCTTATTTCAGATATACTTTGTTGTTGCTGTGCGCTTTCAGTTACACTAGTGTCAGTTTTCTCTTTCGAGCTGTTCTTTTGTTGATCTTGTGACTAGAAATAGAAATTTATTTTTGGGTAAATTGAACCTTCTTTGATTAAACCACCAAATTTATTCTCGATATTCAGGACGTTGCTTCTTAAAGCCACTTTTCCCTTGCCAAGATAGATGGGACTTGGTGTTCCAAAAATTTTAGCCAAAGTTACTTACTGCAACGGATTTCATCGAACCATTCAGCGATTCATTGGAATTCACTTCCTTCATTCCTACTGATTGCACGGAATTCATTTCCTTCGTTCCTATTAGTTGCACGGAATTCACTTCTTTCATTTGTACCGGTTGCGCGGAGCTCTCTCCCATTGTTTCTGTTTCTTGCACACCATCAGATTTTTTGCCATCGAAAAATAAATGAAAGCAATTAGCATATGCGCAGCAACTTACTACAGGATCATATTGCTATATCATTGAGGTTTTCCTGCCACTCTGCGCCTCATTCCTTCTCATTTTTAATCGAACTATAATTGCACTATTGATATGATATCATATTGAGATGGTGGAAAAAACTAAAGGTCAACGTGAAAATGAAGTTTAACCAAATTCATAATCTCGAAAGGTTCACTTTTCGTGTTTGTCGTCTTCGACATTTTGCTTGTGTCACGCAGTAATTTAACAAAGGGGAAAAGATCCAGACATATCACTTTTCCAAGACATTGCGGTGTTCTTTTATCAGCGAAAAATATCAACAAAATTGTTGCAACCAGCTGTAAAAAAAGAAAAAAAAAGAAAAAAACTCAACAATACAGCGTAATGTACATTGTGTTTTCACGTTTTGATTGAACACTCAGAAATATATCAAATAAAAAAGAATAGTTTAGCAGAGTAAAAAGCAATTTACAAATAATTGTACGGTAAAACTGAACAATGGTATTAGTGGTCAAACCTATGAAAGAGTTAGATAAACTTTGGGGTAGTAGAAATAACGCAGACTTCGAAATAAGGGTAACTTTTTTATAACTCCTTATCAGTTCGTGTTTCAAAATCAAGTGAAAAAAATTCAACGATTTTTAGAAAATTTAACAATCTCGAATTCAACAATTTTCCAAACACGAGAAACGAACCGAGAAAAGCGCGATGATAAGAAGTACAATAGGTGCATATATAAGGTGCTCCTTCATCCTTATGAAGAGAAAAACTGACCAAATACTGGCTGACCCGGTAGTTACGGCATTTACAGTTACATATAATGAACGATAATCTTCAAGCGGCATTTAATTCAAACGATTGTATCTTAGGTAACTTAATCAATATCTAGATTGGTATACTATATATTAGAGACGATCAGTTAATCTATGTGAATCGGTTGACTGCCTAGCAGAAAACATAATATATTGGCCAATTTTAGAAAATAATAGATAGACCTTGACGATTTTGTTCAATTGCTGCAAGACCAAGAATAGCCATAAACGTTTGGAAGATGAAGAGAACAACAAGTGCCATTGGGATGATACTAGCAACATAGCCCAACACCATGAAGACGCATAAACCAAGGGCCGAAATCGCATGTATCGATACGACCAAATGAAGCCAAGTGGGATTCCCACCAACAAACCTCAAAGCTAATTTCCCCTAAGTTTTGAATCTTAAAGTACTAAAGACTCATCAAAATCTTATACAAGTAGACTACACCCAAAGATGATGGTAGTATCATCATCTTACCATTGAGCCTAATCTGCATTTGCATAATTTCAGCTAATTGGCAAGATTGGCATTTCAGCTAATTTAAGGAATTGGCATTTCAGCTAATTTAAGGAACAATAGTGGTTAATCAAGAATTGAAAGAACTCAATTACGGTGCATTCGCTTTGTTGGCTTCCACATCTGAGCCAGAATAAAAGGATTGCACCATTTCGAATGACGAATTTTTTCCAGCTTTGAACATTTATAAAACTATTTTTTGTAAATTTGTATGCAAATTTTTGTTCGATGGGATGAAATTAATATTTCTTCTAATTTCTTTCAGTTTTTTGCACCATTTTGTCAGAGAAATAAAACTAACTTTTATCCATCAAGATATTAGTACTCAAGGTAGACAATGTTTCTTGCATTTTAAAACTGCATTACTTCGAACAATCCAGGAAGTGATTGCTTAATTAATGGTCATTTGTCATTTTTGACATTTACAGCTTTCGGGATGTGAAAATAATTAATTCTTAATTTAAATTATTAAAAATTAGGGATTGCGAAGTTGTTAACATTTAAAAAACTGTAATGCTATTCAACGTAACTATTAGAGCACATAACATAAGGTAGTTTTTTTTTATTTCGCCAATTAAGGTGATAAATTTACAAAATGACTGCAATTAAGGACACTCAAAAGGAAAAACGAGACAAAACCTTATCTTTCACCAGTTTATATAGGTCTTGTGGACTTGTGAATAATTGCTGACCACAAGCGAAATTTGACTATATTTCTAGTAAGTCATTATCCTTTCTTTAAATTCAACCTAAATCTGCCTCTACCCTTTGAAAGGCTTGCTCGCTTATCAGGAAATATTTGTACTTGAATTTCCAGGAAAAATTACAGAAATCTTGGAAAAAGTAGTTAAGTCTTCTTGTCCCTAACGATGATTCGAAATGCAATTACCACATTACTATTCGTATTAGATCAAAGTTTTGGTTTTAAAAATTCCATTTGATATAGACGGAGTGACTCAGTTTCCCGCTTTGTCCGGCAAACCCAAATGAATTGAAAGCGACGAACCTTTGTCGGAGGTGAGGGATACATTGGTTTTTACTTCATCTAGAAGCTTAAATAATTTAAATGTTTGGACGAAAAGTAAGCCGAATTTACAAGTCGATTTCTACTGGATTACCTGCAGCTACTTTTTTGTTAACCCATATAAAGGCAAGATGTACGAAATGGTATCAGCCGCTTTGTCTTCCAATGAACAACAACTGGCCCTCTAAACGGGCATTTCATTCTACTGACGCAAAATGTATTGCTCAGTAACGCATCTCGGTAAAGAGCAGAAATGGTACAGCTTCTACGTCACTTATCTACTTGTCAATAAGAAGTCGTATCATTGAAACAAGTCGTGTCCTCTACACGTCAGTACCATAACACTATTAGGTTGAAACTTCGTTCGATACATCCTGCATAATTCACGGTTCCTTGAATCTTTTAAACCTATGACGACACTTTATGCTTCTACAGGTAGATTCAAGTACATCGATGTGGATGAGCATGCATCCTTGTTACACCATATTACTATATAATGGCAAGATTTCTAAAACATGACAAAAACTTTGGTAATTTTACCAAAAAACAAATTATCCGAATACATAGGTAATGCATCCTAAAAAATGCCAATCAAATTGAAGAATAACTTCATACTTAAGTGCAACCAAATAAATCTAAACTGAAAGCCATACAGTTACTATACGGAAAAAAGCTTGGCAGTATCAAACCAAAAAAGACGAGAACGTAAGGATTCTACAAAAACAGCACGAAAGAACAATTAGTATTTCAAAAATCTGATTTCCTTCTTTCAAGACTTTCTATATATTCTTGAATATGAGGTTGTTCTTCAGTTAAAAAACCCTGATCATTTTGCAAAACACCAGAATACTATATTATTTATTCCCATATTCAGATTTTATATTTAATCAATTAATTTGCTTTACACTTTAGATAAGTTTTCATCACTTCGTCATACTTCAATTTTGTACACGATATCACATATTTAAATCATCCGGTAAACTAAAATTCTACAAATGAGAGAGATAGTGTGAACTTATACACATTCATGAAAAACTTAGTGTTCATTATGAATCTGATTATAGTAACTCTGATGTGTTGGATCGGAGATTACTTCTTGGACACCAACAAGATCTTCTAGATATGCGTCCTTGTAATAATACTGAAACCTGAAATTTACATAAAACTCAGAAATTGTTTGGAATTTTGATGAAAGTTCAGAACAAGGAAAAATTTTAAAACCCAGTACACTGACATATATGGAAAAATCGAGAAAACCGAGGATGGCATTATGCTTGCTTTCATTTCCCTGCTTGTCATTCATTATTAAATTTGTATAAATCATTGTATAAATCATAGGTGCAACAAAGATATAAACAGCTTACCATGGTTCCCCTTTCGTGAATGTGCTTATTTTGCTGAACCAACCAAACTTATCGCCTTTATTCTTGATTGCCGAATAAACATATGGTGTTTTTAGAATCTGAAAATAAAATCTGTCCAAATTAATGAGCGATACAGAACAGCAAGTAGAATAGATAAACTCTGAGAGCGTTCTGATGATAAACCATAGTTACGAAGAACTGAGAGAAAAAGAAACAAAGAAAGAAGGACTTTTATCCAATCAACAGCCATGGAAGTGGCTATACAAATAAAAAACAATCTAGTTACAAGTGAAATAAAATCATTTAAAAAACTTTCAAGTACAAGCGAAAAAAATGTTAACCTCATTATGAATACACTGAATATAGCGACCAAGTTCTCGAGGACTTTGATATAACTCGCCACATTCATGCTCAGGAAGACCCAAAAATGCTAACGCATGTGCCTCTCTTTTGTCCGTTACACTGAAAGCTTTCCATAATTTTTCAGTTTTTATTTGATTTTTATTTCATTGTGATCATTATTTCAGTGGTACTCCAACCAATCACTATGTTTTATTTCATTAATAGAAAAATAGGGTCGAGACGCAATCCCTATATGCTCTTTATTAGATAAAATAAATTAATTACACAGGTATCCGAATTTTGAATACCGTATTGAAAACATTGGGTAACCGATTACTAGAAAAGTATTATGGGAGGGATAATGATGCCGGGTACATGATATCAGCAAAACAGAGGGATCCGCACCACCAAACTCTCAAATTGCATCACCATTAAACGATATCAGTGCTGCTCATAGTTCATCCACACAATTAAAAAAAAAAAAGAAAAAGAAAAAGGGAAAAAGTGTACAAATTTCGTGCAATAGAGTAGTCTAGTTCGTTTTTTCCATTTTCCCAAGTTCCAAAAACGTCGCTTTTGTGATGCTCAAAGAAATCAAAATCCATATCTTCAATATCTTCCACAACATTATCCACATTTCCAGGCGTTGTCCAGTCGTAAACCAAAATTTCGGAATGCTTCCTATAATGACAGTCAGATTATGTGCTGCCAACAAGAATTAACAAAGATTTGAAAATCTCACGACATTCTTGTTAACGTATCTCAGTAGATCTCAGCTATTCCACAAGCTGATTTTATTTTGCACTCAAGAAAAATGCAAATGAACCTAAATTCTTTCAAGGCATCTTTATATGAATCCTCGATTGTTTGCAAATAGGTCCGATCGACAACTGCAATTTTGTCTGTCTGAAATTAAAATACAAATAAGTGTGTCATTTATTTATAAGTACATAACAATCATTTCTAGGCAGCTGCGTCCTGTAAACAACATAACACTATAAAAAAGAATTCAGAAGTTATTCACTCATAATTTAAAAAAAAAAACAAGACACTGCCCTTCTGACGAATGTTCTCCAAGCATTTATCGACCGGCACATCTAAATAAATGACCAGATGTGGCCAGAAGCGGCAATTTGGTATCATATTCTTGCGCTCGATGTAATAATAGGTAAAATCTAAAAAGTATGACATAGAAATTACTTCAACAGATTAATTGGAGACATTTCATGAATCACTGAATTTTAAGTATTTTTCTCTTTACCTCTTTCGTTTCATTGGAAAACGTTAAAAAAATGCGTATGTGCTGTTAAATGTAACACACACAAAACTGTAAGTGGGAACTTAGAGAACGTAAAATAAATTACAAATAAAAGGAATGTTAAATAAATGATCTGAACCACCATATGCAATAATGAATTTGCTTACATTCTGGTCCAATGTAATTTTTAACACGACATGCGTTAGCGAAAATAAAGTCAGTATGCGGAGTACGCTCCAAAACGACACCTTGACCTGAAAATCAAATATCGTAGAGCAATTAAAACAGTAAAATCATTGAGCGTATTATAAATTTTTGGCAATAATTTATTCTACCATACTTTGTTCTATTAAAGCATTTTCAGAGAGATGATAACTATATTATCATCTCTCTGAAAATACTTTAATAGAATGAGATGGATACCACTAGCTTTCCCTGAACATATAATGTTTATAAAAACTAGAGAAAACAATGAATTTTCTGAGCTTTGCTATACTGAGAGATTTCCCTCAATTATCTTTCCATAAAACAGTATCAACAACATTAGATTACGAATGATACAATTCAAGATTGAAATAATTTCATTTCATATTTTGAGTGCACTGAAATATGGGTTTGGAGCAATAGCAAAATGAAGATATGACATCTATTGCAGCAGAATCTGCTGAAAGTATGAAGTAAAGAATCAAAATTCGAAGTTTTTAATATTTCATTCAAGTCATTCAAAACAAGATAAATTCATACCAGTATTCATAACATGCGCTACAGCGTTCAAATACTGGTCGAACTTGCATCTAAGAATACGATCACGCATCTTTGCTGTCTCGTCATTAAAAGGATCCTTGTAGAACATATTCATGTCGAACAGACGGAAGGATTTTGGAAACTATAATTCAAAACAATTAAAAAAGAATGAGTGGAACAGGAAAAGAAAATCACTACCATTGCTCTTCATTTATTACCAAAGGTAAAACTTTTCCCATATGTAAAGAAAACTTTAGCAAAGAGTTTAACCATGAGAATATCAGAAGAAATCCATTATCTTCTCTAAGCTAGACATCATAATACATTCCAAACTAACATGTGATTCCACACAAATGACTACTTATCCAAATATTTGTCGAAATAATTTACAAGAACTGATTTTTTTTGGACAATAAGTAACAAGCCAAACCAAATGATAGTAATTTCTGTAATCGTTACCAAACCGATCTATCAGAACTTCATCCATTTGAAATTCCGGAATAAAATAAAAACCTAATCGATCCGCAAGTGACCGAGCCATATCTGACTAAAATAAAGTCATGTACGATATGACGATGGAATTATCCAAAATAAAATTACGAGTTTCTTTGATATTTTTCATTTTTTCTCCTTCTTTTGAAAATCCCAAACAACTGTTTACTTGTGTCATGAATTTCTTTTTGGAACTAATTTTGCCCCTTAAATAACTTAAATGGCGTAAATCCTGGAAAAAATCCCACTGATGCACACTGCCATACTCATGCTCTAGACAGAATATGAAAAAGAAAAAACAAACAAGTAATTAAAAGAAAATACTTTTAAAAAGTAAGAAAATAAGGATCAAATATAGCAGCTTATGGAAGATCAAAAACCGCAAGACTTCAGTTCATTCATTATTGCAGTCTTTGATAGTCATGTACAAGGTACGCGGAACAAGTTAGATGTGAACTATCAGATTACTTTCGTCCTTTAATCATTAAATTTTTGAGATCCTAACTCATCACGTCTTCACTTCAAAAATACATCATGTAAAAATCCAACTCTAAGCAGCTGCTATAACTTCCACAACATGATACGACAATCTGATTTTAGGGAACAGACTAAGGGTGATCACAATCAACTAAAACCCTGCTTATATCATCTTCCTTCATTACAAATTACCTTGTTCGAACCGATATTTCCTTCAACCACTATCAATTTCGAATTTTCATGAAATCTCTTCAGCGTCCGATCAACAAGAACGTGCTGCCATCGGTATCTGAATGAGAAAAATCTCAAATCAGACAGATACGATCTCCCACCTAATTTCATCTAATCATGAAGACAATGATGCCTCTCGAATGACTGCTGCTAAACAACAATCCTTTTACTGAACAAATATGTGGATAAACCTATGTTTGCCAAAAAAAGGGCATACCCCTTCTCCTTATAGGGCCACGGTTTTGGATAAGTGTCTGGATCAAGTTTTAATTTACTCTTTTTAACAATTGTCCGTTTTTGGCTGACAAACTGCACAATCCCACCAAATACTGATGATGATGAAGTACGCAATCGATGACCGGTGTGCACCCATTTACATAACGCACCTGCCATCTTTGCTTTCTGTAAATTGATACTGTTATTAGGGATAAAATTACAAATAATACTGCAAATAAATATACCAGCCATCTATACAACAAAACAATAAGACGGAAAAGTCTTCACAGGACAACCAATGGGGCGATGACTGCAAATAAATATACCAGCCATCTATACAACAAAACAATAAGACGGAAAAGTCTTCACAGGACAACCAATGGGGCGATGCAGAATGCCAATAAAAGCAAAAATTGGCTAATGGCTAACACTAATTTAAGATTCAAAGGATAACCAATCTCTTCAGTGCTCTATACAGAGCAATTTGGAAAATCTTCAAACCAATTGAGAAAATACAAATCCTCGATTCCCAGTTGACAAAATATTACATGTACTCCCCAAATTATATCGTTCCCTCAATTTAAGTGCACACGTAGTTCTCACTACTATTTAGTGTGTGCGCACAGCTATGCTGAACACAAAACTACCAAAAAATATTGAAAGTCCAAAATCATTCCAGCAAACAGGTCGATCCTGGACATCTTGGAAGTCAGAAATATCGATCCACAACACTCTTGAAAAACCCAGTTGTTACTCATTGCTACTTAGAAACTTGTGAAGCAGAACTCCCACCACGAGAAGATAACTATTATAAGGACTATAACAATAGCGGTACTTGACAGCATTCAAATCAATATTAGCGGACCACCTCACCTTACTTATTATGAAAAATATATTAGTGATTCCTCTTTGTATAACTGCTGCACTAGCTCTCCTACGTAAACTGAGAGTATAGAGTTCTGGCACCAGGTTTTGGAAGACAATTGCTTTTTGATATACACTTTCCTCAAAAGGCTGTTGAAAAAGCTTAGACCAGAAATATGTAAACAAATTAACATGAAGTAATATGAGAGGTTAAGATACGGAATTTAATATGTATTAGGCACAGAAATTTCCACCACACATCGTAAGTCCACCTTTCTACAACGTTTGTCTTCCATAACGTTGAGAGGGATTCTGTTCCTAGATAATTAAGAATAGCCTACAAATCCCAAGTTAACGTCGCGTGTTTAACAATAAATAGCGAAGTGTACTCGACTGTAATAACCAGCAAGAAGATTGGAAGAAAATGAAAGACTTTAAATTCGTAATTATTTCAAAATACGTTACATAATCGCAGTGAGATGCGATACCTTTGGCACTGTGTACAGATAGAAAAAAACACATGAAATACTTTACAGTTATATTATCCAACAGGAAGAGTTCCGTGTTAGGATGCACCTAGATGAAAAATATATAGCTTATTGCGTCTACATAAATACTCTCACTGAGTTTTCCCAACGATTGAAACTTCCAACCAACACTATTAAGATTCCCTGATGAAATAACTATCTATACGCCATTTGTGCATCTTAACAAAGAGATAAATGGTGAAACAATCCAATCTAAGATTAGAAAAAAATAACTGAATGAATATGGAGCACAACAGAAAAATTCTACAAAACAACGCAGAAGGAACAGACTTTCTACATACTCCTACTGCGCCTCAGTAAATATACCACATATTTATAGCTCAAAAATGCAAAAGAAGTGCAAAGAAAGCAAAAAAAGGAAAGGAATTGTCTTAGCAAATTGCAAAAAGCTTTACGGATGTTTCGACTTCGTCATAATGAACAAGTAGGCGTTCCTTTGGGCAGTTAATCCTCCCAAAGAAAGGTAGAATTGCTTGCTTATTCAATTTCTTGATTTCTCGTAAAGAACAAGATCGGAAAAGGATGAGCAAAAAAAAAGCACAGTAAGTTCTGGCCCTGGTAGACTGTGGGGTTCAGCATTCAGCATACTGTTAAGGAACCAGAATTAGTTCTTCAAAAAGATTTCTGGAATGGCTTGAAAGATGGACTAAATAGTTAAAACAATTGCCGAGAATTATTTAAATGGGGGAGCAATCATTCCAAAACACTGTACAATTGCTGCAAGCAAAATAGCAACAAATATGACATGTCTATAAAGCAAAAACAAGGCAGTGTCGCAGATTTCTAAATAAACTGAAGAGGCATAGGAAATAAAACGAGATATAAGGTAAAGTACAGTATTTTCGAGTTTTAAGTTTCTCTAAAGTGATTTTCTGGTAGTCCCCAAAGTTCGTATTCTACTGTTCGCGGATGATTCAGGAATTACGTCTTTCATGCGTATCTGAAAAGTCAACCACTTCTAAAAAATCCTAAGGAACAAAAATACCTCAGAATTTAGAGACCCTCAAAAAATTGCGGGGGATACTGGTTTCGGAGAAAATTAGAATCTGGGATATCCCATTAATATCCTGGCAAAAAGGGAACATGATAATCATCATATAAATATGGAACCTCGGAAGAAAAGCTGCAAATAATCATCAAGAATGTACAACTTACAGAAAAGCAAACATGAGATCAAACTTATTTAACGGTCTGCACGAGGTTATACAGAACAAAAAAAAAAAATAGCAACATGGAAACATTTACGTGATATAAGTACCAATTTGCACCACTTACGCTGCAAAATAGTAAGTTTAAATTAAAAAAATCTATAGAATTTCTAAGATGATTCAATCGATTAAGATGATTTCGTTGTATCCTTCTCATTCGAATACTCATAAATTTGAAGAATTATGATCTCAGCTTATTGGAATCATTGTGGAATCATAAAAAAGTGATTTCACGAAGAAAAATTGTAAAGAATAAATAAGTTTATTTGTTTATTCTCAAGTTCTGCGTAAGGGGCACCCATGGTACGGATGGCAGATTCAAATATAGACAAAGAAGCAAACTTACATCAGTTTATACTGCCTCTTAAAACATTTATATCATAGCTTAAAGTAAGATATTCCAAATTAACCCTGAGAAAATAGCAATAGTGTTCAGTCACAAAGCAAAAATACTATTAATCATCATTCAATTTGATTCCTTAAATTTCAGACTTCCTAAACCTAGACTCTTGCCGACAAAAAAAAAAAAAAACAACAAATTCCGATCCCTTCAGGTTTTCATCTGTTTTTGCTACATCCTTTATAAAACCATGCAAATCTAATTAGAATTACATTTTACAGGAAAAAGTTTCGAAAAATTTAATCTTTGCTACGGTAAATTTAGCCGACGTGATGTGCCATTACCGTGCTGTCGTGTCGAAACAACATCATGGGAAGCGGTGCTCACCACAGCTGCAGCAGCAGCTTCATTCAATTCTTCATCATGAATCATTCGTGCGCAAGCACCTAAACCAAATCGTGCATCCATAAGTATCCGCTGAATATTCATTTTCGCCACTGCCTTCTAAAAAGTACAAGTGGTATAGGAGAACTGAATTAACATTAATTCCTATCAAACAGCCTAATCAAAGTTTGGGCAAGGATTTTCTCCACATTCCAAAATCTTTGGGCACCGCCCAATCAATTACATATAGCTGGCAGAAATTCCTGATTCCTGGGACAGGATTTCAGCTGAAACGCAATCAAATAAGAGTCTAAAAAAGCAATGTTTTTTTAATGGCCCGATTTAGTATGATAGCTCACCTCATCTTCATTTAATCTAGACAAATAATTAGCTATTGAATTGGCAAATGCAAGATTAGCATCATGTTCTTCATGCAATGACTGGCTTGGTAATATGGCATAGTGTGGATGCTCCACTGAAACAGCTTGTGTCACGAATCGATGCCCAGCCTGTTGTCGCAGCGGTATCGAGGAAGTTTGCTGTAATCCTGGAATTAAATGAATTTCACGTTGCTCTTCTTTAAATCGACAGGAATGAAGCGAAAGACAATGAGCATCTTTCGCAGATTGTTGCAAGCTTCTGCAGAATTGTATCTATAGGTAATGCTACCCAATATTATAAGTCATAACATGCCCATCTGAGCAGCATGAGATGTTGCCAATACGGTCGCACGTTGCGGTGAAACGGAAATTCCGGGATGTGAATGCGAGCTGTTCGGAGCCTGCTGCTGATGCATCTGTAAAAGAAAATTATGATTTTCAAAAATGCTTGCTTTTCAAAATAGACTCGAATTTCGCAAAGTCGATTCAAGATCAAAAAAAGAAAAAACTGCCAAAGATATCAAAAGAATTAACAAACCTGCTGTTGTACACTATGACCCAAGACTATATTTGTGCCTCCTGCAACTGCAGTAGTAGGACGTTGATCCAAAACTATCTTCTCATTCCCCGGTATCGTCCCTGAAGCCCATTTATCACGTTCCATAAAAAAGCAAAAGTTAAATTTAATAAATAAATGATTACGTGACCTAAATTCTTCTGGCATAACACATAATTTCGAACCTTGATCAATGGTAACAGTTTTTTCGGAAATTCCATCATCCAGAACAACTTCGTCTCCTAACTGTCCACGACCACTTGACATTCCTTGCACACTAACCGCAGCAACACGTTTTCTACGTTGTGGAACACCCACTACTTTTAATTCACCACAAACTGTTGACATGCCGTTATTCGAGGATACTGCATCGGTATTCAACTCTGATACATTTACTAACCGATACCTATAAGTAAACAGGCCATTTCCCGAAGTCGATTAGGGAATTTTTGCAAAGTTAAATTTCACAATTTGTAAAGCTCAACAACTGCGTAAGAAAACATCGATCTAAAATTCAACCTAAATTTTCAGAAAAGTCTACAGCAAAGTCATGTGATTTATGAAAAGTCCGGCGCAAAATCAAAAATTAGAATCAAAAAAAAAAAAAGAAAAATAGGGGAAAAAAACGTACCTATAGTTGGTATGGATGATTTCTAAACACTTACATTTTTTGTGACCCGTGCTGGTAAAAAGTTGTCGGATCAATGATCATTGTGACCGTACCTCCATCATCTAGAGATGAGAATAACATGAAGTAATCGTCCCCGATAGATTGCAAAGGCACATGGACATATTATCTTACAAACACTGCTTCCAATCAAGATAATGTGATATAATGATAGTCTAACTGAAGAGTGATAAAAGTTACTTGTTCTGACATTAACATCCTTCTTAATCACACCAGCTACCGGTGCCACACCTCTTGCAGTAACTGTTACCACTCCGCCATCAGCCGTTTGTAACTGCTGTCCTATTTTTGATCTTGGTTCTACTTTAGGTAACAAAATGGGTTGTTGTTGCTGTTGTTGAGATGATGCCACCTAGGAATAAAAATCAGTTAAAAAAATTACTTGAAAAACACTAACAAAGAAAAAGTAAACGCAAAAAAAATACTTGGGAAACATTGGCAAAAAAAAAAAATAAAGAAAAAACTAACGCAAAACATTGAAAAACTGTGACGCAAAATCCCCAACTTACAATGAAGTTTTATTTAGGTATGCCTCAAATGTTTGTTTTTAGCGCATCCGAAGAATGCTTGATCTCTTTTCATGAATTTTATAGAATATGATGAAAATAGATTCTAAATTATATATATATATATATATATATATATATATATATATATATATATA